TCTGAGCTAGATGGCCGCTTGTTTATCTTCAAGCCTTTAAGACCCCAGACGCTATATCTTTTGATAGCCGGGCACCATCAGCTTTCTTTTCCACATTTGCTTATGCACCCATTTTGTCTTCAGTGATCATGTCAGGAAGGTGAGCATCACAGAATGCCAGGTTATTAGAGCAAAATGTTCTTGCATTGAGGGAGTACTTGAGTAGAGGCCCAATGTCCATCTGCTACCTTAATATTAAACCTGTAAATATATGTACATAGATCTGTTTCCCCATTGTTATATATAAATACATTTACATGTGCACATACCTGTATTTAGACGATAGGCATTAAATTTTACCTTACTGCATTTGCAGTGATCCACTTTCCAATGCTTTCTGCATGCTAGGGAAAGCAAGGCTACGCACGCCCCGTCTGTCAGGGTAGCCAGCCCCTAACACACCATCACAGGTCCAGTAGGCGCAAGTATACGGTTATAATATATGTAAAGATTATAATAAGGCCATAGAGCGCATGAGAGATAAAAGAGAGATTGAAATAATGGTGTCAGACACATTTCATAGTAGCATGCTCACCTCAGCCTCACTTGGTGGTCCACGTGGAGAGATCAGAGGGCAGGAGAGAGGGGGAGGGAAAGGGGGACAAGGGGAAAGCGAATAGGGGAGTGAGGATGGGGAGAGGAAGGGGGAGCCCACGAGAGACCAAGGGGAATCTTTATTGCTAACCAAAGCCTATATATCTTTGGGGGGGCATGCAAGCCCACTAATTACAGGTAAAGACATATCACAGGAAGGGGTTGTGCTATAGGTAATACAGTAATGGGAGGGAGGTGATCTAGGGGTTCATACGCTATTGAAAGAGGAGGGAATAAGGGTATACATGTGACAAGATGGGCGGACCCTAGATTTATGATGGCAGCCTCACTTTGGATGTCACTGAGCAGGTTTGACCTGTTCACTGGCTCACTATAGAAACCATTATCAGTAATAATTTTTAAAAAAAGAAAAGAAAAGAAACCCTTATCAGAAGGGTGTAAATCCCACTTACAGGAACCAAACCTGTGACAGCAAGCCTTTAGGGAGAAGTAGCCCTTTGTCCTTAACAGCAGGGGTGGGCCCCTCTTGTGGTGGGCCCACACAGTTGTCTGGGGACTGACTGCCTTCAGGGAGGACGTCTCTAAGCATCTGACCTCCCACCATATGCTGGCAAATGGCCTCTAATGTTTGGCAAGTCTTTGGGGGAAACAAAGCTGGGGAAAAGTCTCTATAAGCCCACACTGATCTGTTGTTAGAGGGAATTCACCAGAGGCTTAAGCCTTGTGTGGACCCTGCAAATGGATAATCATAAACATTTGGCTATCTCTTTTGAAAATTAGGTTTCTATTTTCAAAAAAAATGTTTAAGTCATAAGTTGTAGGTCATTTACTCATGATATGCCTTGATGTCGTTTTCTTAATGATTCTTGTGCTTGAAATTTGTTGAAACTGAGTTTTTAGTTTAGAACATTTCTTGTCATTATTTCTTCACGTTATCTTTTCTTGTTCCCTCCCCACTCCTTTAGGGACGGCACTTTGCCATTATTAGGCCTTCTGAACCTGCTCTCTAGCTCTCTGACCAGCCGCGTCCTCCCCTTTCTCCACTCGGTAGCCTCCTTTCATAAAGCGCCGCCGAGCAGACTCAGCTGAAGACTGAGGACCTGGGTCCCTGCAGCTCACTCTCGCTGTAGCCCCTTTCTCTCCAGCACGCCGTCCTGCAAACTCTGTCCTTTAACCCATCCTGCGGACATAAATCAGGTTTTGTTTCACAGTTTTTTTCATTTAAATACCAGGTTTCTTTTTTATTTTCTTCATCTTCTTAAATAGAAATTCCATGTCTTCATTTCGCCCTGGGCGAGGCCATCATGAGAGTCGGAAGAGTCGGTTCTACACCAGTGAAGAGTGGGAACTCTTAGACCCAAGCCCCAAGGACCTGGAGGAGCCCGTGGTGCTGGAGGAGAGGAAGAAGCAGATGCCCGAAGCAAACAAAGGTATGAACTCGGCTCCCGCCGTCTGTCACTCTCCTCCCCTGTGACGTGGGTGACGCTCCGGGAGCAGGTGTGTGTGCAAGTGGGAGACCCAGTTTTTTTGGGGGGGTCCTCCTTATGGTTAGTGTAATATAAGCACTTAAAAATGAGATGTTATCAGAAATTATCCAGTATAGTAGCTTTTAAGTTCTTTCTAAAGATAGAGTACCTGGAAGTCATGGTGTTTTTCTGGGAGTGCTGGTTTTAAGAGGGTTTTATTACGGAAAGTCTGAACCATGCACAGGATAGACTGTAGCTTAATGAACCCTGCCGCACCACATCTACTTCCCCACTCTGGACGTGGGACTCTAGCTTCCGCTGCGTCTCCTCTGAACTCCGGTCCCTCCTTGTAGTCCACCATGGCCGGGCTGTTCTTAAAATAAACGCCAGCTATCCATTTATCTCATCTGTAAATACAAGTATCTACAAGACTTCTGGGCCCAAGGGGAACAAATGATCATCATGGCCTCATGATAACACCTATAAACAAGTCTCTCCCTAACATTATCTTAATTCCTAGGTTCCATAAATGTCTCCACCACTTGTCTGTCATACTGTGGTGGCTGTGATGCTAGAAGCTATGTCAGTGAACAGGTTTCAGCAGAGCTTCCAGACTAAGATCAGATTATGAAGAAGGAATGGGTTGCCCACTTCAGAAGGATTAGCTACTGAAAACCTTACGGATAGCATGTAAACCTTGTCAGACACTGAAAATCTCGTCAATAGAAGCAGAGCCTTGTCAGAGATAGAGCCAGAAGATGAGCCCCTCAGGCGAGGAAGCACTCAAATCTGACGAAGGAAGAGCTGCCTTCTCAAAGTAGAGTCAACCATAATGACGTGGATGCAAGCCTTCCGTGCTTTCATTTGCTGCTGGGACATGACTCAAAATGAGAAGAAACAGCTGCAAACATCAATTAGTAATTGGAACTTACAATGCACAAAGTATGAATCCAGGAAAATTATGAGTTGTCAAAAATTAAATGGAACACACAAAGATCCAAATTCTAGGTGTTAGCGAGCTGAAATTGACAGGGATTGACCATCGTGAATCTGGCAGTCAGTATGGCTTAATATGCCGGGAACGACAAAATCAAGAGGGATGGCGCCACATTCATCATCCCAAAGGGCATTTCAAGGTCAGTCCTGAAGCACAGTGCTGTCTGGTGATAGGATATCTATCTGCATACAAGGAAATCCAGTCAGTACAACTACGATTTAAATTTATACACCAACCACTGAAGTTAGTAATACAGAAATAGAAAAATGCTACCAACTCCTTTAGTCTGAAATTGATCAAACATGCAATCAAGATGGATCGATATGTGGCTGGTCTGACCTCCCCACATGGGGGCAAACCAAGAGGGGAGTACAACAGGTCAGCAATGGGAGCAAAGCCGTGAAGTCCCTGAGGAATCCCGAAAGCAGACTTCTGACTCGGGGAGGTGGGGGTGGGCAGTGCTTGCACCTCCTCTGAACTGGTTGGGGATATTCACAAAGGTCAGCAGTTAGACCTGGAACTAGTTGAATGTTTGTTTTCCTTTTTCTTCTTGCTGTCTAGCTGTATAAGATGGGCAGCACAAGCGATCTCAAGGAGACAGCAATGGGACCGACAGTTCTTGGGAAGCATGGGGAGGGGAGTGGTGAGCCAATATGTCAGGGACGGGGGAATAGCAAGGGACCTGGAATCGACTGTGAGGAGGGTGTGGTGACCCTAGTGGTGTCTGATCAATT